TAATTCATGTCAATATATATTCTACATATTAGTAAAATAAATTGTCAGAATACTTCATTATTCTTTACATATATTATCTACCAAAAAATATAAACAAACCAATATACTATATATTGCATAAACGATTAGTACTGAGATTACTTAACAATTATTTTACTACATTTTACTGTGATATATCTTATAATATGGAAAATATATGTGGTATAAGTAAATAACATTTGGTAAATCATGATGGTGAGTTTCTAAAATAATCTATATATCAACTAATGTGCATGCAACCAAAATATGTATTGATGTGATAATTCACATACATGAAATGAAATCTGCTTGCTGTAGGATACAGGTAAAGATGTTAGGCTCAAGTGCATGCACTAAAGTAGATTAGACAGTATGTTTCTTTTAGATACAATCGAGGTTGTTATATAGCTATATTTTTACGCATAGATTGAGTATTAATTGGTGAACATTATAAAGTAATAACTTTGTAAAACATGTCATTGGATTCGACATATATTGTTCATATGAAAAATATAACAATGTAAAATGATAAACACCACCGAACTGAATCATATGTCTACCATATGAATACAAGGACTCATTCACACCTATATAAAAAATTAAAATTAAAATTTTAAAATAATTACCGCGTTATATTAATAACGGAACGGAAATGAAAATGAAAAACTTACCTTTTTAATGATCACGATCATTTTCTACATTTTGGAAGATTTCTTTGAAGACAACATTCATTGTTTGTCTTTGTGGATTACCATATCTATCTACTATCAGTATTTTCAAGCTTTTCTTTGGTGTTACTCGAGAAATTGCAACATATAGCTGCCCATGAGAAAACACAGGACGGGGTGAATACAAACCTACTTCTGATAGCGACTGTCCCTAACTTTTGTTGATGGTTATCGCGAATGCATCTGCCAACGGTAATTGTCTACGTCTCAATTTAAAAGGTAATCTTGCATCCAATGGAGTGATCAGCAATCGTGGAATAATAACTTTGTCTCCATCTTTATCTCCGGTAATAATTCTTGCTTCTATCATGAAATCTGCCATTTGTGTAATCTGAAGTCTCGTTCCATTCATCAATCCGGCTTTAGGATCAATATTCCTGAGCAGCATCATAGGACACCCTATTTTCAATGTAATACAATGATTGGGAAGTCCAGCAATTTTTATATTGTTTAAAAAATCAGGAGTAAAAGCGAGATTTTGCAATGCTCCAGAGTCAGCAGGATCTATAGTATCAGAACTCAGATATACTTTTGATTCCACTTTTTTTAATTAGTTAAAGAAATTGCCATAATTAAGAATTAAATTCCAAACACAAACCATAAAACACAATCATATAAGGTGAACAGATTGTACTTACCAGTCATCTTCGACAGCATCTGTTCATTTATATTGTTCACATCTTCATTGGTTGGACATAGTATTGCTCTTTCTTGCCAAAATTTGGCATTTTTTTCCTGTTGAAATGATGTTTGATCTCCGTAAATTTGTGTACATATTGCTTCGATTGGATCATTTACGTCTGTTATAAGGGACTTCTCAGGAATATCAATCATTACTTCACCGTCATTTGGCTCTGCGATTTTACCTTCGCCAACATTCAAAATTGCATTCAGAAAATTCCTTTAATTATTTCGCTTGCTCAACACTCAAGCCACTTGATAGTAACCTCATGTTTTTTGTTAGCTTCATAACTTTGCAATAATACCAAATACAGGATGCATTCAATGCAGCATTAGCAATATCTCCCCTTGAAGCATGACAGGTAGAATCTGCCTGAAATCTCCACCAAATACAATAATTTTCCACCAAAAACACCTTTTTCTTCATTCTGCATAATATCAGATAAACTTTTATCTAGCGATTCGAAACAGTATTTACTCATCATAGGTGCTTCATCCTAAATAATAAGAGATGCTTCTTTTACCAAATTCGAAACTTTTGAACCACGTTTCATCGAACATGTAGTATATTTATCTGGGTTAATAGGTATACCAAACCGCGAATGAGTTGTCCGACCTCCTTGTAAGTTCAGGCTGGACACAAATACTTGATACTTGTCTCGTACTCGTCACTTGCCTCGTACCCGCCTTGAAAAAACAAGTACTTGTCGTCATCAAACCGGATAACAAGTCACAAAAATCTATTACTTGCAAGTACGAATCAAGTATCAAGTATCATTAATATTTTTAATACTGACCTGTTATTTGTTTTGTTACTTGTTACTTGTTACTTGTTAAAAAAAATACTCGCTACCCGTTTAAAAATACTTGTTACTTTGTTTTGATCACATATCGATATTTCAGTTTCATTTTTTGTTAGCATATTTATTGACTTTTTGTATGAAATTTTTTAATTTCAAGTATTTTAGGTTCAAATAATCAAGTGTTCAAGTACTTTAGGTTCAAGTAATCAAGTACTTGAGATTTCAGTAATGGATTTTGGCAAGTAACAAGTTGGGTCAAGTAACTTGCAAGTACTCCAATTTTTCGCAAGTACTTGATATAGCAAGTACTTGTTTTAAACGGGTCAAGTATAAGTAACAAATTGAATTACTTGAACGGATCAAGCCAAGTAGCAAGTACCGGAAAATTAGCAAGTACTTGTCCCGTGCCCAGCTTTCAAGGAAGCATGTTATGCTGAAGGGTTGTTAGAAGATGACTGGTAAGTATAATCTGTTAAAAGTAGGGTATACCACATCATTTTAGGATTTGATGTCATCAAATGATTCTGGACCTCTGACAACATTAAGAAGAATCCTCAAAAATATGCTTTTTCTAGTTTACGTGGAACATAAGTAATCCTTCCAATAGAAAAACTTCTTTTCCTTTTTTAAAAAATCTGAAGTGATTTATCCCACGTATAGTAAGCAGGGATTTCTCCACACGTAAGTGTTTTACATTTACCGCCTTTTTTGTTCAACTCAAACCAAGTCGTATTTTTTATAATTTCCCTATGGATAACCGTTTCAACCATCTCATCACCCTTTAAATAAACCAACTGTTTGCCTGGTAGATGAAATGAAAGGTGTTCCACGGGGTTGTTCGATTGTGGATTGGATTTTTTGGATTCGCCAGCCAGATTCACATGCAGATACATATCTGTGTAATAAAAGAGTATGTTATCACTAAACAACTAAAATATTAAATTACATAGTAGTTTGTATTCTGAGTTGTTCAAATATAAGTGTTGATAACGAACCTGCACTCGAAGAAGTCTTTAATCTCGTTTTTCTTCTTTACTTGACATTCATGTGTGGAATCACAATGAATGTTATCTCCTCCATCAGCTTTGACATTCTGTTCTTGAGAAGGCTAAAGCACAAAAGTAACATGATCAAAACTTTTATTTATATACTAAAATAAGTATTTAATGGAAGAAGCTTGGTTGCACCACTTAAAATTTATATGATCTCTATAACGAAGAGACAACTTCTTGTTATAGGGTATCACGAATCTGATATCATATTTGTATCCATTTTTGTCGTAGTCCTTGAGCTGTGACCTCCTCCTATACAAAGGAAAACCTTCTTTATTAATAGATGTCGTCTCAACATGGTGTTTATGATACATTTTTGTACAAATCCCTTGAGACATATATGGTGATCTTGGATTAAGATCACCGCATGGACCATGGATCATCATTTCTGAAACAATTCCATAAAGCTCTGACTCTTCATATCTGTCGGGTATCTCAGCTGATATAATATTATCGATTTTTTCAGGAAGAATTTTTGAAGTTGGATCGAAAAACAATAGAATATGTGCATGCGGTAGAACTCTCTTCTGAAACTCTATGGTGTACATGGCTGAAATTACAAAAGTACATATCAATTAGTAAATTGTATAAATGACGATATTCTAATATTCAAAATTAAAGAATGGAGAAGTTACTAACCATAAATATTTTTTTCTATGCCGAGTCTGTTATCATCAAAATCCATCATCATAGAATTCAGCTTCATTTTGAACACCCGACAAATTATATCTGGTATATCATCAAAACTGAGTTTTCGCTCGTTCACATACCTTGTGATTTCTAGCCACTTTGGATTACATGTAAAGGTGATGAAAATATCAGGGTACCCAAAATGTTAACGTACAATCATTGCATCCAAGTAGCATTGAGTCATATATCGAGGTTTGCCAGTTAATGAAGGAGGCAAATACGTTTTTCTACCTTGATCATGCAAATTCTTTTTACTTTTATTTGATGCATCTTCTATTGAATCAAGATTTTCAGATCTGAGTGATGTCTGGTTTTTGTCGAGATAGCCGACATGATAGGCCTCTATCATAGTAAAAACATCAACCAAAAACTGCTGGAATAACCTCTTAGACCGCAGCAAAGTGTAACATTCATTCTTTCGCTCCTGTATATGAAATGCAAAGAACTGTCTCATGCTAATATATTCTCGTTTCCTTTTCTTCTTACCAGTCTTTGCAAAGCATTTTTCAATGCGAATATGGAAACCATCTTCACCATACGGAAAAATCAGAGGATACTGTAGAGCAATGTATGAGGAATGAATTTCACTAATCTTTATCAGCTTTAGTGCTGGGTTGCGGGTTGGATCCGCCCCGCTGAACCCACCCCGCCGTGGGTCGATGTTAATTTTACAAGCTCAAAAATTATCCGCCAAACCCGCAATCTATGAATTATATAACTGCACCCGCCCCGTTAAAATTAAGCGGGTTTGGCGGTTACCCGCCACCCGCCAAATTCAAATATAAACTTCAAAAAAAAATCGACCAAGGAAAAAATCCAACAAACACCAAACATTGTTTTTCAAACTTCCAAGTTCAAACAAACACCAAACATTTTTTAAGTTCCAACAAACACCAAACAAACACAAAAGCATATTGCTAATAAAAGTTTTTCTTGTCCAAACCGAAATGAAAGTTAAAAACAAATTACAAAGAGGTCTTCCTTCTTCTTACTCTCCATCTTTCATCATTTGGTGGAGTTCCTCAACTTCACCTAATTGGCAAATCCAATAACAAACAAATATAAATCTATAATGAATCTAAATGATGTGAATGAAAGCTCTACTTAATAATTCAAGCATAAGAAAACAACAATTACTTACATTGCTGAAGCAAACGATTCAACTGAAGGTATCTCACTCTCAGCTTGATCAATGGTTTCAGCATTTTCTGATTCTGTAAACAAAGCATTAAGATTACTAATACTTATAAGTTTATAACTATTAAACTATAAAATTAGAAATGAAATAGAATCAAAATGGTGACTTACCATTATCATAGGGTTCAAAACCCCTGAGCCAATTACGAGCACATATCAGGGCTTGCACATTTCGTGGGAGAAGAGAACTGCGATACTTGTTTAGAACTCGTGAGCCAATGCTGAAAGAGGACTCAGATACAACTGTGGTTATAGGAATGCTGAGAAGATCTGAAGCCATTGTAGCCAACACCCCAAATCGATGAGCATTGTCTTTCCAATAAGACAGAACATCTAAACTTGGAAAGACCATCACGTCAACTGCTGGCTCTTGAAGATATAAGTCCAATGCATTCTTTCCACTAGCACTCACATTGTTCTTGCGGAAATTGTGAAAAGCCTATGTGTAAAAACAAAATATATGTTACAACTTACTAGAAGCAATATAGAAGAACAAATATACTAATTGACTGATAAAACTAAACCAATGACTTGCCTCATATGGAGTGCTCTGCGATGATTCAGCTCCACCCACTGATTCTTGTACATTTTCTCCAGCTGATGGAGCGATATCAGCTGCTGGCCTAGAATAGGGTTCGAAAAGCTGTTTGAGTTTTGATTCCACATGTTCCACCTTCTGTTGACAAGTACTCTCATCCAGACTTGAAAAACAAAACTCTAGTGGTGATAGCTTAAACCTAGGATCAAACACTGCTACCATTGCAAGAATCTCGCTATACTCATGCCAATATTTATCAAATTTTCCTTTCATAGCCTTAACCATCTCCACAATAACATCTTCTTCACTGTTCTCATGCTCTTTCAACCACAACTCGATCTTGTACACTTGCATGAAGTAGAGGTTAGAGGTCGGATAAGTTGAACCTGATATCAGGTTGGTGATCTCATCAAATGGTTGAAGTAGCTCAGAGATTTGAGTGGCCAAATTCCACTCTGTTCCCGTGGGTTGAAACATGTAGCCGTGATCAATGCCTTGGTAACTATCAAATGTTGAACGATATTTTAGAGCTCTGTCCAGCATTTGAAAAGTTGAGTTCCAACGTATTGGAACATCTAATGTCAAACCAGCCTTCTGATCAATCCCAACCGAATCCACACAATTTTTAAACAGCTTCCTACGAGCTTCTGAAGCCTGAACATACTTGATACTGTTTCGGACTTTTCCCAAAGCTTCACCCATCACCTTTAACCCTACAATCTTCATAGCTAGATCGATTCCAGTATGTGGAGGAGGCATAGCACAAAAAGACAGAATCTTACTCCTCAACTTCCAATGCCTATCCACGTAATGAGCAGTCAAACAGATGTACCCTTCCACAGTTATTGCAGTCCAAAGATCAGATGTGAAGGAGATTCTTCCAGGGATTTCAGACAATTCTATCTTCAACTTTGACTTCTCAAGCTCATAAAACCTAAACACATCTGCGGCAGCTGTCTTTCTAGTGATGAACTTCACATCAGCATTCAAATATGACCAGATCGACCTAACTCTACCATATTCAACATAGGAGAAGGGAAGATCATGCTCAATTATGCACTTTGCTACCATATCACGGAAGACACTCTGATCAACCTTCCTAGCTTGTAATTTCCCATGTCCAGTAACTAGCATAGAACCTACATCCCCATTTCTAGGCATTTTGTTGCATACTAGTGAGTGTCGGTTATAGTTGGAAGTACCTTGCTTGTGTGGTTCATAAGCGTAGTCCTTTGTGCAGTGAATGCACTTGGCTCTTAACTCCGAGACACCATCAACAACTTTGGTGATGACAGTGAAGTTCTCCCACGCAGGTGAGGTCTTTTTCCATTTGCCCTGACCCGCCGAGTCATCTGTGGTTGACTGAGGTAGACTTGACCCCTCGCTACCACCACTCGGATCCGTTGGGATGTCTCCATCATCAGAACGATGCTTCTCAGATTCCATTTGCAAATCTTTTAAGAAATAAGAACAAAACCAGAGAGTCAGACTAAACCATTCATAAACCATCACAATTCACAAGCAACCTCCATAAACAAGTGAAAGAATATGAACGAGAGAAAGAAAGTAACAAACATAAGCGATGAGTGAGACTATGACACAATTCATTTCACAAAGGCAATTAAGAGTTTAAGACTTAAGAGAAGTGAAGAAATACCTGGTGAGACCGCCGCCGTATAAGATTTGCAGTCGTCTGAGAGTATCGCCGACTGAGGAAACGCCGATTTGGTGAAGACACTCACTCAGTCACTCGAGAGAGCCGTTTGAGAGAGTATCGCCGTTAGAATAGAAAATAGGTTTGTGGCTTCTGAAGTTTTTCTATGAAACCCTAAATCTGAGTCTAAACAACACACAGTTAGACAATACAAAGTAAAAACAACACGAACTCAAATACAAAAACAACACACATTTCAGAATTACAAAAGAAAAACGACATGAAACTCACTACCATAACTCAAAAACGACACAGTTTTATTAAATTTGCGGGTGCCCGCTAACCCGCTTTCTATAAATGCTAAATCCGCATCCGCCCGTTAAAATTAAATCCATACCCGGCCCATCTAGCAACTGTTATTTTAAAAGATACAACCCGTACCCGCCCCGCTGCGGATCAAACGGGTCCGAACCCGCGGGTTTTGATTCAAATTCCCAGCTCTAATGAGCTTGCCACTTTGTTTCTGCAATATTATATCACGCTTACACATATCCTCATTCAAATTACCAAGGATCAATGCAGCAACTTCAGACGTAGTAGGCATATTATATATCCTTGAGTATTTTTGGCGATCATTAATCTCATATGAAGCTCCTCGTTGGGATCCATTTTCAATCTGTCTCTAGCCACTCGAAAATTCTTCACATAAGGGTTTACTTTATCTAACATCTTAATTAGCCTATCAATTAATTCATCTCTTAATTGTTTACGTTTAGACACTTTCATAGGATTCTTACTTTTGCTGCAAGCAAACAATATATTGTTATTATAATAAAGTAATAATAAATATGTATTCAATCATTACTTATACCTCATAATGGTCGAACGATTTTTTTACTTCTTCATTAGTGTCGACAATAAATAACTGATAAAACTTGGCAACATCACCAGTTTTAGGGAGAAAACTTCCCATCAGATGATAATTCTCTCCATTAAGTTGGAACATTGATCGTCCTCGACCCTTTTTGACAGACCTATCTACTTTACCTCCAATAAAAGTCATTGAAAATAGCATATTGTATGGTCTAACATTCTCGGGAAAACGTTTGCTTAGATCATCGGCAGATATAAAAAGATGCAATAATTCCGGTGGAGAATCTTGAAGGTATGGTAGCTTTACTTGACCTTGCGAACAGCATAAAGAAAATATAGGATTCTTTGCTCTTCTTCTTTTGTTTAAACGTTCACCATACTAAAAAATTGCACCACAATAATTACACTAATATGAAGGATCGCCATCGTCTTTATATTCTGAATATAAAAAAGTAGTCCGATATTATAATAAATGAATATGTGAATCACACAACATAAGATTGAGCGTTGAAAATAAATACCTTAATATTCACTGACAGGATTATTATTATTAGACACTCCTACAGTAAACGCTTTCTGCAAAATAGTAGCTAAACTCTTGACATCATCAACATAATCGAGAAGTTCCTCATTGTCAAATGAAATTTCTTCCCCAGCTTCATTCATAATATAGTTTTCCTCATCGGACGAACCATCAAGACTGCTACAGTCAAACTGCTGTTCATAATCGAACTCATCTATACGATATAAAATTTTTATTAGTTAAAAAGTATAAGTGTATATAATTGCACCTTAAATAAATACAGTCAACAAAATATTACCTTCTGAATCTCAGTATTTGCTTGGGAAGACAACATCATCATAAATATCTTTGGTATCATCAACACAAAGACTACTATAATCAACATGTCCTGAAAGACGAATGTAAAACAATACGAAATAGAAATGAACGATATTTACTGGGCACAAAAATTAGTTGCAATATAAATACTTACCTTCACGCTGTTGATGGTCGAGAATATTCTCGTTGTAATTCTAACCTATCTCCTGTTTACATTTATAATCTTCAAACGAAGATATAGCATATGTATTCCGTATACAAGATGAATCTCCATTTTAAAAAAAAACAAACTTTGTTGACTTGTAACTTAATACACAATTAGTTAATTGCATCGATGTCAAATGGGATAGGTCGTCTATATCAAGAAAATAAAAAATTACCAAAATCAATACTTAAAATGGTACATTATATATAAAGGACCATAATACGCCAAACATATATAACTCATATGAAGATAGTGATTCTGATTGCTTTCACTTTCTTTTTTCTAATGTGAAACAATTCTTTTTCCCAGTATAATTGGTTCGAGTATGTAAAGCTGAATTATTGAAATAATAATGTTGCATACTGAAGTTTACTGATTCATAACAATAGCGTTAACGATAATAATATAAGTTTTAAAGAAAATAATTTGTATAACCATTAAAAAGACTTATAGGTTTTCAATCCATCACATACGGTAGGAGAAATTGAGTATGCGTTCTAGTTACGCATTCAGTATTAGTTATGTCTATCAAAATTTGTGGAAACAGCGAATGAACTTTGATTTCGTTTTCACTATGATTATCCACTATTTCTGATTTCTGAGGAAATGTATTAGTAGATGATGACCCTGAAATATTAACTTCGCTGCTCCAACCAGACAATAAAGTCTTCTGTTCATTCTTCTAATCAACATGTTTAATCCTAGGCATAATTTAACCTGTCATATGAAAAAGTGAAGATCAAAATATAGCAAAAAATGATGGGATTAGATAGGGAACATAGACTAAGAAGAAAACCAAAGAGTTTAGGTTAGAAATACGGCAGCAAATCCTTCAAGTGAATCTTAATAATATCTATTAATCAATATATGATATGTAAACATTTTTTTTTATTGCAAACAAAAAATTGATAAATGAACGTAACCAAGTTAATAATTTCCACATATATGAATAATTTACCATAAACCAAATGATGTATATAACAATTACTGTTACTTGCCATAGATATGATGCCTCATACATCCATTGCATTACAAACTCACGCTGTATATTTGCAAAATATTTTAATTTACTAATTGCATACTGAAAATCGATTTTACAGAATGTAATTTGGTAATTCACAGATTCACTTAATATAATTAAATATTATATATGCAATATGATTAAATATATATAATACCATTTTTTGTAAACAAATTCATTCACTAAACAAAATGAATTGAGATTTAAAATCAGTAATGTAATTATATATAAATTGCATGAATGAGCAAATGAGAAATAATAAACCTACCTTTGCGGTAAATTAGGTAAAACATTATAGATAAGACTGGCGGAAATGAAGTAAAACTTCTTCTGATGTGATTTTTAACAGATGTACAAAAAAAATTTAGTAGGAAAACATATATTTTCTTTGGATATAAACATATTTGTTGTACGTCTGTGAGAAGATCACATGAGAGGAATAGTTGTAGTATGAGTTGTATTCGAGTGAAGAAATTTTAGCTTGGATACTTGATGAAACTTCTCTTCTGTTGTTTATTTATAGAATTAGTAGAGAGTGACTACTCATGTTTCATCCGTGTGTTTCATATTCCCCAAAAGTTTTTTCTAATTAAAACATATTAACTAACATTTGACTCATTTATCACAAATTCCACTAGAAAATGTATTTCCAAATAAATTAAGAAAACTTAATCTATATTCCATAAAATATTATCTGTTTAATATACATTTTGGAAAATAGCTACAGTAATAGACTTATAAAATAATAAACTGCAAAACTCAGTAAGCTTTTATTAATAATCTTAGCGACATAACAAAATGTTTAACGTATAAAATAACATACACCTAAAAATGATTAAAATAAAAGAACAAATGCATGATAAACATCAGAAAATATTCAACAAACCATTGAATAATGATAACTAAATAAACATGAGAAGATACAAATTCAAATCATCCTATTTTTTGGTTATATCACGCCCATCAACTTTTCCAGACCATGTGCGCGAGCGAGCCCCTTGTCCTCCACTTTGAACATTTCACTCGTATGACGTTTGTTGACTAAAACACCATCTTTTGTTTTTTTTTAATAAAATCTTAAATTATATTCAAGAAAAAAAATAAACTGTTTTTACAACTGATTGCTTACATTTTTTGAAAAAATCTCAAAAGGATACCCATTGTGTTATGTGTTTCCTCTTGCCTCAAACCAAATGCACAGCCCTTCTTCGTATCTCCTCTTGCCATGGCGGTGGAGAGTGCTCAATCTGTTCCTCATTACGATATCCACATTCTTGACTAACATACCCAGTGGGATAAGTTGTTCTCCATGTCTTCTGCTGTTCCTTTCACACCAGATCGCATGAACCGTAGCTTGGAACATGTATCTGATGATGAAGGTTCTAGTTTCATCATATGGTGGATGTGTAATGTTTTCAATCACTTCCGTCCATATGTTTGTAAATCCGGTTTCCATGATCCCCTCCACCAAGTTTTTCCACACGTTTTTTGTGTAGGGACACTCAAAGAATAAATGTTCTCTGCTCTCCAGTGGTTCATCACAGAATGAACATCCTGTATTCACCGAAATATTCCAAAGTGCCATTCTCTTTCCAGTTGAGATCCTATCCTTTGCAGCAAGCCACGCAACAAACGAGTATTTTGGAGTGGCTCCCGAGAACCAGATACCGCAGGAGGGTTCCAGGAGGGGTCCTGTTGATCGCAGAAGATCCCCTGTTTCCTTCGAGCTGAACCTGGTTCTGTATTCTCCTCCTTTCCCTTTCTAGAGGGTGACGTCCTCTGCTTCTCGGATTCGCTGCTATTTGGCCCTCTGAATTTCGTTCTCCACTTGAGTCAGTAGCTGATTTCGGTG